TTCAGGAGGCAAAAAATGCTGTATTCAGTGTATAAGATGCACCCAGATTTTCAGCCTCTATTTTGAGGGGAAAAGGCGCATCTTATACTCCGAAAAATATGGTAATGCTCAAATAATATTAATGAAACATTTAGTAGGTTATTCTATTTTATAGCCAAAAAATCTTCTAGTACAGATGACATTGTTCCGGAATATTTTAACCCTATTCATTCATTGTACTTTTAATTCGTGTCAGATTAATTTGTGCAAGGTCCCTTGGAAAGGGCTTTCCTTAAATGCAGCCCCAAAATTGAAAGGTTGTTTTTGTAGTTACCAATTTAACTTCATTGATGTATGCATCTAGAGGTGCAACTCTGAAGACAGCCTAAAGACAGATTAAAACTGAAGATTGCATTTCAGCTGAACAAAAGCTACGTAATATAGGTATTTAAAATATGACATATATATATTAATTTCCAATGTACCTCGTTAAGCTGCGTAATGGTATCATTTATATTCTTTGCATCTGAAAACTGTGGGGTTTCTTTGTAAGCCTGAAGCATCCGTTCTAAACCTTTAAAAATATAAATACAAGGATTTGCTCAGTCTTCATGAATGTCTAAATAACCTTGGAAATCAACCATGATATAATAGCACTGTTAGCAAAGTTCCATTATTTATGTTAAAATATTTAAAAACTTTTTTAGTTCTGAATACAATATCTATTGTTAGAATAAAGCAATATAGAGGTAAAGGTTCCCCTCGCACATATGTGCTATTTGTTCCCAATTCTATGGGGCGTTGCTCATCTCCGTTTCAAAGCCAAAGAGCCAGCGCTGTCCGAAGATGTCTCCATGGTCATGTGGCCAGCATGACTAAAAACCGAAGGGGCACGGAATGCTGTTACCTTCCCACCAAAGGTGATTCCTATTTTCCTACTTGCATTTTTACGTGCTTTTGAACTGCTAGATTGGCAGAAGGTAGGACAAGTAACGGGAGCGCACTCTGTATTGCGGCACTAGGGATTCAAACTGCTGAACTGCCGACCTTTCTGATCAACAAGCTCAGCATCTTGGTCACTGAGCCACTGCATCAATATACATGCTAGTAAAAATATAAATATAAAGCAATATACATGCTATTAAAAAGAATTAACAATATTAGAATGTACACAATGGTACTCATCTACTTTCAAGGATAGAAGTAGTAATCAAAAGGAACATTATCCAGACACCCCCAGTTTTGTTTCAGTGACAGTGTGTCTTGTTTAGGAACCTACCTATCATATTTTAACCTTAGAACAGTTGTGAAGACTGTACAAATTGAATATGTTACTTGTATTCTGAAATCTCTATAAGTACTGGGAATATTCTTGCTCCATTTGAATATTAAAAAGTTGGATGTAGCCCATTCTCTTAAGCAGGGCTTTTGATCTTGTAACCCTTGTTGATCCATGAATTTGTATTGGGGGTGGAAATTATGTATATTATTTTTGTTAACCTGTAACTCTAACTTAATTCTTGCTTTTTATTCATAGGCAAGAAAATAAAATATGATATCTAAACTCCCCCCCCCAATATGAACTTCAATATATTTCATTATCTAAAAGCATACTCCAACAAGGGTATCATCTTTTATTGATTTAATGCATTTAATAAAGAAACACATGTATCTCTATGTTAAACATTTTTTAGTTTTTAAATATTTTGGTAACAATATAAGCAGAATTGATTTCATTTGTAATGTAATCTTTCTATCTCTGTATTCTATCTATCTATCTATCTATCTATCTATCTATCTATCTATCTATCTATCATCTATCTGTATCATCTGAAAATCTATCAATCATTTATCTATCTACCTATCTAATTATCTATTTATCTATCTATCATCATCTNCAACAATCTGGGTCCTCATTTTACCCACCTTGAAAGAATGGAAGGCTGAGTCAACTTTGAGCCGGTCAGGATCGAACTCCTGGCAGTGGACAGAGTTAGCTTGCAATACTGCATTCTAACCATAAGGCCCCGATGGCTATAACTCAATAAATAGGGGTCTGAGGAATCCACCAATAAACTTACCTTTTTTTAAAAAAAATCTATTTCAGGCTTCTCTAATTAGTTGATCCTTACTTTTGTACTATTTTCTTGATAGAATAAAGACCTTATTCCAGCTATGTATTTAAGAAAGGGAAACAACCAATTTGATGCAGTGCTTAAGGCAGGGGTGTCAAATTCAAGGCCTGGAGCCTGGATCCCGCCTGCAGGGTGCTTAAATCTGGCCAGTTGGGCCGCCCTAGAAATAGCGAAGGACCAGCCTGCAGTGCCTCTGCCAGCGAAAACCTGGCCCTCCCGAGGTCCATTTTTGCTGGCGGAAGGTTGCAGGAAGCTGTCCCAGTCAAAAACGGAGCTCAGGAGCCCGTTTTCTCTGGCAGAGCACTTGGGCCACAGGTATCAAGCTGGCCACCCTGACCCCTGAGGTTAACCCTGATGCAGCCCTCAATGAAATTGAGTTTGACACCCCTGGTTTAAGGCATCACACTAGAAACTGGAAGACAGTAAGTTAGTTTTAGTAAGTTAGGCATAAGGCAGGTAGCTGACCTTGAGCCAGTCACTCTCCCTCTGCCCTGGGAAGAAGAAAATGGCAGACCACTTCTAGAAAGTCTTGCCAAGAAAAACTAGGGACTTCTCCAAGCAGTTGTCAGAGTGCAAAATTGTCTCAAAGATAAAACATCAGACAGAAGAAAACTGGTGTGATATAAACTGGCCTAATAAATAAATGAATAATTTACCTGGCAGGCAGCTTGAGCTAATCCCAGATTCACTGGTGTTCCTCATTTTCAAGGTCTGCTTAATGCTCCTCATTGTAACAGGGCATGTGATGGTCACAGAACTATGCAGACAGTCCTAAAGGGAAAGGAAAATAGTATTGTTTCTCTTTGCTTATTCAAAGAGCGTTCAACTCAGATTTCTTGGCCCATAATCCTGTAAAAAAAAACAACCCACAACTATCACCACATGTTATTCTAATTCTGCAAACATTTAAAGTAGTCATCCCGGATGCCACAGAATTCAACCACAACATCCAAACATCATTGTTGATCTGAAAGAAGAGGTCGGAAGATATTCTGAAGGGTTGATTTTGACAAAGGGTTGATTTGAAGGCTATTGGGAAAAAAAGCCTTTTTTCTTTTGCCTGCAGCTCTGCAACCATCCTGATCTGTAGCACAGCAGGAGAAAAACATGCCACACAATCTTAGCAGCAAGAGCTGACTGAGTAAAGTCTCTTATGTGTGTTGTCTACAGGGTTGTGTGATGCTTGTCTCCCCCCTCTAAGTGTCACTCTTGAGGAACTGAAACTTTCCTGGATCAGCTTTCAATAACATTCTATTTTTAAAAATCCTGCACCTTTGAATGCCATGCTCTTAGAATCGATCTCTCTCTTAACTGTTGGGACCTTTTTTTAAAAAAAAGTTCATTTGGGGGCTACAGTACAAGTCAGGGACCCTTTTCTGGAGGATTTTTCCAGACAGTATCAAGATGTAGAAGAGAGGGCTTGTGAAGATGACTTTGGAGGTCTGTGGGCACCCATCTACCTTATACATATTAAAAGAATCTGTAACATTAAATAAATGGAGTGGAGTGGAATAGAGTAGAGTAGAATCTATTGACACTTTAAATGTGTACTAATCAGCATAGATTAAAATGAAATTTTGTGGCATTCACCTGTCAAAAGAGAACCATTATGCATCTACCACATACATACATACATACATACATACATACATACATGACACAGAGAAACATCACAGTCTAGTTCGAATGTATACATATACATGGCGGGGCCGGTGTGGGGGGAGAATCCTGCAAGTTTACAAGACGGATGGCATAAAGAACAAAGGTGTTACAGAAGAGAAGAGAAGGGAGGAGAAGATAATCTTTTATTGGTTGAGCGTGATCAGACACACAAGGAATTTGTCTCCGATGCATAAGCTCACAGTGTACCTAAAAACAAGTAATAGGTCATAGATCATAAATCATACTTACAGTCATTAATCATAAGTTACAAACAACAATTGATAAATCTTAAGAAATCAATAGGAGAAGGTGGTAGGAAAGATGAAAAGATGACAAAAGATCAGAAATGAGACAGTGCCGTGGGACTTAAGTGTTCAGCAGAGTGAAGGCATCGGAGACA